CCGGCCGCCATTGCCGGACGGCTGACACAGTGACAGTTAAATATATAGTATTATTTATATATATTATATATTTATATATTATAAAATATATAATTAAACGGGTGCTGCTATTACACGGGCGTGGAGGGACAATTCAGTTCCGACTTCAAAGTCCAAATCTTCCACGAACTATTTCCACAGTATCTTCCGGGCTAGACATGGCTTATATCCCTAACCCTAACCCTAACCCTAACCTAACCCTGCATCCTACCCCTAAATCCTAACACAGTAGTGCTGCCACGTTGCGGTACTGCGCTCTCCACGCCCGGGATTAGATTTCCCGCAGGCGAGTGATAACGAGATATAAGTGAGCGCGAAGATGGATCTGCTTCCAGGCTCGACCGCGTGATATAGTTGTGCCAGTGACGCTAGCACGCATAGCTCTCAAGTTGCCCACTCGCCGGTCGCAGAGCACTATATCCTAATAGCTTGTGCTGTCAAACTCTCGATGCTGAGGCTAGAAAAACGCTTCTTGCGTGACTAGTGACCTCGCCGGAGAAACATAATATTTTAGGTGGGCCAACTCTCTCTCCCGAACGTCGCCATCGAACCATGGTTCTGGCGATAGCCGCGCACAGATACGCGACTCAAAAGCTCAGTCGCTGCTCGCGACGGGATCGCACGTGCACAGCAGATACTGCTTGCCATAAAAGTCGTTGGGCGTACGGCGGCTGCGATTGGCGTCGCAATAATGATCACGCCAGTGTTCGTTTACTGTAGCTAATGTGAGTGCCTTGGTAGCCGATGATCGTGGCGCGACCCCGGAAAATCTCTCGATTCACGCCTGTCGTATGACGCAGCAGTGCTCCAGGGCGCTCCCACGTGACACTCAGACTCGCGAACATGTAGGAATTTACAGAGGAGTAGCCGTGAGAACGTTCGTATAGTTACATTGTACCTAGAGAGAGCGTTACGCCACCGACGGCCATCCATCGAACAACTATCCCCACGTAAGTGCCTTCGCAGCTGGGTTGTTGTTGGTGTAGGCGCCGTTGCCATAGATTGAGGAGTGGCGCACGAGGAGAGAGTTGGAGACTGAGGCGAGTTAGAAGCGGAGAGCGTGGCGCAGAGTCATAAGCACTGATAGTACCTGAAGCTACAGCAGCGGAGGGAGAGAGAGAGACGAGGGAGGGACCAACAGCCGAGTGGAGAGAGACTTATAACATGAAAGCCGTCCGCGGAACGAGAAAGGAGAGAGCTGGAGCAAGGAGTGCGACTCTGATTGATCGGAGTGACCTCATGAGGAGAGAGGAGAGTATGCCTATGGGTGAGGCAGAACGACGAGAGCGAAAACGATACAAGAAAGAGAGGCAGCGGAAGAGACGCATGTAAGCATGTTCGTTGAGCGCAGAGCGGAGAGGCCGGCCTCGGTTGGTGTCTTCGGGTTGTTCTCCAATTCGTCGCTGAGTGGCTCCGGAACCCGAGTAGTGGGCAGCTGCTGAAGTATTGAAGGTGCGCAAAACTGCGCACTCTCTAATGAGCATCGATGGCGTCTCGGGCGTCGCCCATCGCGTTAACGTCATAGGTTCACGTCGTCAGGTAGGACCACAGGCCCACCTGAAAACAATAGCTTAGGTAGACATTACATTTTTGACGGACAGGATTTTCTCGATGCTCTCTAGCGCCTGTGCCAGAGTGCCTAGGCTCATTAGGAGTCGTATGTCCCCCACGGGTACTGCCGGAACGTACCCGGGTACGCCCGTCCCGCGTATACCCCGAAACGGACCCCTGTGTGACTATTTAATATGGTTACGATTTGGATTAAGGTTTCGATGGTGTCATATAAGGCGGTGTAGGATCTCTAGGCGTGTTGAGAGTTTAGGCGCGGTTCAAGAATCGTGTAGTAGAGGACAGTAGGCGTAGGCGGACTCCCTAGATTTCGGTTGTGTCGCTTAGAGGAGTAGGCGAGGCCTACGGTCGCGATTGTTAGATAGTACCAGGGTACGTTCCCCGAGTGCCACTAGAGATGACTCATAATATACACCGGTACGTGTCGCTTCCGTACATGCGGCTCGATGAGAGCTACCGGGTCGGGACATAGAGTCTCCATCGTCGTAGGTCGTGACGCCGTAACTAAGCAGCATCCGAAAGCCAGGCGCAACTCGCGTGGACAGTCTGGATGCGAAATATTGCTCACCTTGAAATACGGAGCACTTCCCATATCGTAACATGGGCCGAGGACTCGCGTACGGGCCAAACTGCGAGCTTCCATGAAGAAGACTTGGCAGACCAGCGACGAGCTAAGCTCACGCGTGTATTGGTATGAGAAAGGCCACCTGAACACAAGGCCACAGTGCAAAAACGCACGTGTGGGGGTTTAGCGTTACACTCTCTGCCACCACCGCCGGTCGCCGACACCTGATTTACAAATATAATAATCCACATAAGACTTCTTCTTACAGACGCCATTTTATGTTGATAGTGGCCCTATAATTAAAATATGTCACCCTCCCCCTAGATAGGCCCCCTCCCTCTCGGTAGACCCCCTCTCCCTCGGTAGACACCCTCCCTCTCGGTAGTCACCCTCCCCCTAGATAGGCCCCCTCCCTCTCGGTAGACCCCCTCTCCCTCGGTAGACACCCTCCCTCTCGGTAGTCACCCTCCCCCTAGATAGGCCCCCTCCCTCTCGGTAGACCCCCTCTCCCTAGATAGGCACCCGCCCTCTCGGTAGTCACCCTCCCCCTAGATAGGCCCCCTCCCTCTCGGTAGACACCCTCTCCCTAGATAGGCACCCGCCCTCTCGGTAGTCACCCTCCCCCTAGATAGGCACCCTCCCTCTCGGTAGACACCCTCTCCCTCGGTAGTCACCCTCCCCCTCGGTAGTCACCCTCCCCCTCGGTAGACACCCTCCCCTAGATAGGCACCCTCCCCCTCGGTAGGCACCCTCCCCATCGGTAGTCACCCTCCCCCTCGGTAGTCACCCTCCCCCTCGGTAGTCACCCTCCCCCTCGGTCGTCACCCTTCCCCTAGATAGCCACCCTACCCCTCGGTAGACACCCTCCCGCTAGATAGGCACCCTCCCCCTCGGTAGGCACCCTCCCCATCAATAGTCACCCTCTCCCTCGGTAGTCACCCCCCCCTCGGTCGTCACCCTTCCCCTAGATAGCCACCCTCCCCCTCGGTAGTCACCATCCCCCTAGATAGGCACCCTCCCCTCGGTAGTCATCCTCCCCCTCGCTAGACACCCTCCCCCTCAGTAGTCTCTTCCTCATTTTACACGCACCTCCTCCGTTTTCGTAACACAGGTAAGGAAACCTCCACACGTTTCCGAGACCGACTGCGTAGCTGAGACAGGAGAAGAGGAAGTCTAGCTTTCCCGCCCAGGTATCACGGGCGTTCGCATCTTCCTCCTCCTCCTCCTCGTACTCCTCTTCTACTGCCTTGATAGGTGGCAGCACCTGCGCCGCGGCTGTCTCCACATCGTATGTCTATAACATAAAACAGACGCGCGTGTGTATCGCTTACAATGATCGTCATAATCGCGTATTTAGTTTTGGTAGAATGCTGTTAATGTCTACAGTGATAGTACTATTGATATATTCTTGTCTGTATCGTTGAGCCACTGTTGCCAGTTGGGAGGGAACACGAATAGGCGCAGGAGTATTACGCATTAGGGGGAGCGTAGATTACACGGACGCGCTCTTCCTCTCTTTCGCGCGCGTTCTCTCTTTCGTTCTCTCTCTCTCTCTCTCTCTCTCTCTCTCTCTCTCTCTCTATATATATATATATATATATATATATATATATATTAAA